AAAAAAATTTTTTTTTAATGTTTATTTTTGAGAGAGACAGAGTACGAGCAGGGGAAGGGCAGAGAGAGAGAGGGAGACACAGAATCCAAAGCAGGCTCCAGGCTCTGAGCTGTCAGCACAGAGCCTGACACGGGGCTCAAACCCACGAACTGTGAGATCATGACCTGAGCCGAAGTCGGACACTAAATCAACTGAGCCAGCCAGGTGCTCCAAGATAGAGGATTTAAACCCAAACATATCAATAATTACATTCCATGTAACTATACTAAACACTCTAATTATAAGGCAGAGACTGTCACACTGCATAAGAAAGTAAGACCCAAGCATATGTTATTTATAAAGACAAACACAGGTTGAAAATAAAAGGACTTAAAAAGATAAACCAAGCAGGGGTATCTGTGGCTCAGTCAGTTAAGCATCTGACTTTAGCTCAGGTCACGATCTCATGGTTCCTGAGTTCGAGTCCCACATGGGGTGAGCTAGAGACCTGCTTCGGGTGAGCTCCAGCAGCCACACTTTGGATGAGCTCGAGTCCCACTTAGGCCTCTGTGCTAACAGCGCAGAGCCTATATAGGATTCTCTTTCTCTTCTCTTTCTCCCTCTCTCTCTGCCCCTCACTCACTCACACTCTCTCAAAAATAAATAAATGAATTGAAGAAAAAAAGACAAATCAATACTAAGCAAAAGAAAGTTGATGTGACTATATTAATACCAGATGAGGTAGACTTCAAGACAAAGAGTATTACTAGAGATAAAGAAGGATATTTCATGACAAAGGTCAATTCATTAAGAATAACAGAATACAGATTTAGAGACTAATAACCCCTATGAACACAGACTCAACTCAATAAAATATTAGTAAATCAAATACAGAATATATAAGAATGATATTCATAACCAAAGCATATTAAAAAATGCAAGACTGGTTTGCCATCTGAAAATCATTCAATGTAATTCACTGTATTAATGGAATAAAGAATAATACCATAATAATTTCTATAGATACAAAAAGGATCTGACAGAACTAAACATCCATTCAAAATAAAAACGCTCAACAATCTCAAAATAGAAGAAAA